AGTGGAAGAGGAACACGAGGATGACAAGGACGACGAGGATCAAGTAGCCTATGCTGCTCTTACTTGCTAAGCATGCCCTGCAAGGAAGGGTGGGGGGCAAACAGGGAGGATGCGTGGAAGCATCGTGGATAGAGGACGAGGAGTGGGAGAATGGAGGACGAACGACGAGAACAGCGGGAACGAGGGGGAGGAGGAGGAGGAGGAAAAGTAACAGCAGGAAGGTACAGGGAGGTGAAAGCCGAGAAGGAGGGAGGTAGGGAGGGTAGGAAGGGAGAAAGAGATGGAGGAGGAGGAGACGGACGGGGGGGAGAGAGGGGAAGGACGAGCAGTGGGGAAAACATAGAGGAGGGAAAGGAGGGAGAAAAGGATAAGTTAGGGGGAAAGTCGGGGGAGCGGGGGGGGTTGCTAAAGGTGCGAAATGCCACCACATGGCTTTGCCACGTGGCGCAAGTTTTTTCAGTTTTTCTCTTTGTGTGTGTGTGTGTGTGTGTGTGTGTGTGTGTGAGAGAGAGAGAGAGAGAGAGTGAGTTTCCATCGGTTGGTTGCCTCCCCCCGTCGTGCATCACCTGACGCATTTGCTTTTGCGAGCGAAGCCGCAACATGTCATCTAGTGGAGCAGGGAATATCGATGTCGTCGAGCAACAACCTGGAAAAGGGAGTCGTTATGGAGAGGAGTTAGAGAACACACACAAAGAGAGAGAGAGAGAGAGAGAGAGAGAGAGAGAGAGAGAGAGAGAGAGAGAGAGAGAGAGATCACGTAGAATAGGGTACAACCGCTTTGATTAGATCGCTTGAGTTCGTAGCGGATATCGACGATGTAGTAGACAATGTAGACCAGCTCAGATCAGGTTACGAGGGTGATGTGGTAGCACATAATCGAGTAGAATAATCGAAAAATAGGGCATTCTAGGCTAGAACGCTTCAAAGAGGGGATATATAATCTTGAGAGAGAGAGAGAGAGAGAGAGAGAGAGAGAGAGAGAGAGAGAGAGAGAGAGAGAGAGACTCCTGAGAAGAGCGCTGATTGTGGTTATGCCAGCTTGTGTGCTTCATGAGTTTTTGATAGAAGTTTCGTATCGGAAAACTCAGGGACACTGGACCCTGTTTCCAGCACAAGCCGAAGCTGGGTAATGGCCTCAGCATTTTCCGGGTTGTCTGTGAGGAATCTTTGACCTATTATTTCCATGTGAAATGAAATGATAAACTTCTATTGAAAAAAAAAAAACCCCATAAATGTGTAGGGTGTTTGTACGGCGGTGACTCTCCTTTTGCTTTCCCGCTTTTCTGTTTGCGAATTTTTTTGAAATGCCCCTCCGACTTCCATTTATTTGCGGTATGCCCCTCTGACGGCTGACCTACCCTATCGCGCCCCTTTGTTAACGATTGAAGTTTCCGGAAAACCCTTCGTGTCGTTTGGGCCTGAAATATGCTCAATATGCCCCTACCGGTACTGCCATACCGGTTCCAAATTTCCAGTATCCACGGGTAGCTCCCCTTCCAGGGCCAGGGGATGAGTGCCACCAATGGCCAGAGGGGCATGCTGGAAAGTCGCACCCCTCATTGATAGGGGTCTGCTGGACGCTTCTGATGACCCAGGGGTACAACAGGGTAAGACGACTGTGGGAGGGGTATACTGCAAATAAATGGAAGTCGGAGGGGTAATTTGAAAACTTTCCATTTTTTAAAATAAAAATGTGGACCGTTTTTTTATTGTCTGTGCTGTCCTTGCATAGAGGTCATGCTAAATTGGTAATCTTCTCTGTATCGTTCCGATTTTAATGGACGTCTTGGAGGACGACAATGACTTCCTCCCCACCCTTTTCTTCTGTATAACAGTAAAAGTGAAATAAGTTCAAATAACCAATTTTTTTTTTAATTAAAAAAACACAACTTTCAATTAAGACCGGGAAGCGGGCCCGGCGTCCCTTACATGAGAACTGCAGCAGTACTGGGCAGAGAAAGGCACTCCCGACCAATGTCATCCCCAACCTCAGTAACCTTGGTATAACATTTAAAGTGAAATAACCTTGGTATAATAGTAAAGTGAAATAACCTTGGAGCTCGTTAGACACACCTTCTGGCGTCCTTGGGGCCAAAGGAAGTTTCCTCCAGGGTTTTGAAGGAAATTTCCGCCGTCATTCCACTTATTCTCGGTGTGGTCTCCCGAGGATGCGGCCATTTTCATAATATTATGGTTGGCTGGGGGGGGAGGAATGGCTTGGTCCGTTGGGTGATGTCTGTCTCGCAACGGTGTGGTCAAGCTGCCGAAGGCGGGAAAATTTGAAAGGCCCTGGCAGCGGGATAAAAAAATAACTTAAGAAGAAACGAACATCCCAGTTCGAAAATCAAATTTTAAATTGGGTGCTGGATGTTGCGACGACAACGTGGGGCAGGTGGCGTTCATACTGACGATAGTGGAAATGGGCATTTGATGCAGTGAAGTCGTTATAAATCGTCACTAATCGAAGGTCTATCGCCATCGCCTCTTCTTGCCGCTGCGCGTATGTGTAGAGTCAAGCACATGCGGGGAACGTCGTCGGCGACTCGGCAGCGAGGTTACCACGGTCGTGGCGAGTTCGTCAACTGTTGTATTTTGGTAGTTGATGAGCATTACAACATGCGTGTCGATGGAGGGTGGCGACGACAACGAGCGTGCGAAGTTGACGGCGATCGAGAAAACAGTCGTGGTGACAACTGTGACGACCGTGCTCTTTCGTTGTCAGCAGGAGAGGGGATTGGACAGAATGAGAATGCAGATCCGGACGCAAAGGAGGAAGCCGCTTCATCAAGTCCCGGTCGAAGGGCTGAATGTTGAGGCTATCACTGAGACTGTAGTTTTGGTTTGTTGGGTCTCTGACCAGGGTCTACTGACGGTGTCAAGCGCATCAACTCCCGCCTTTTTTGCAAAGTGCGGGAACTCTCTCGACCATGTTTACTGACCCACGTGCGAAAGTTTTTATATGCAGTCGCGAAGGTAGGTCAACTGAGGGCGTTTGCTCGTTCGCTGTAGTATAGATACGCTTGGTTAATGCTAAGTGGACATGAACGTCGTCCGATCCTTAGGGCGTTGATTTCCTAAGTACGAAATGGACGTCGGTCGACTAGGACGGTCTCAACCAAGTGTGAAAACCACATTTCATCCTGGTCCCTTAGACTCACGGTCAAAGGAAAGTTGTAACATCCATACATAATTACATAAAACGGATTCGACTGTAGTCGATAGAACGCATACCCAAGCTACGATGCTAACTGAAATAATCCAAATTATCATCTCATACATCCAATCACACAAGGTCGAAATAAAATTCGGCCATCTCAGGTCGAACTCCACAAAACAATCATACAACAACCAACAAGGAGTCGGCTACTGACATAACATTAATGCATGACAAGGTAATCGGTTGCATGAATTTTGACTTGATGAGACGCGTTGCCAAAGTCATTCATTTCACCCTATCGCTGACTTAAGATTAGGCACATACACATGTTTCCGTATGCTTCCAATCTTTCTTGAATGACATATCGTTTTGCGGATGATTCTTGATCAGGTGCATTGTTTGAGGTGTTGCATATCTCTCCCTCTAGAAAGTGGTTTGGGGTACTCCTCGCTCGAGCACGAAGCTCGGATCTCAGAAGTCGGACTGTCTTCATCGAATCGGTGAAGTAACCCCCTGTAAAAATGGTCCACTCTGGGTCGATAACTGGGTCGGCCAGATGCTTCCCGGAGATAGGAGCACGAAGCTCTGATCTTAGAAGTCGGACTCTCTTCATCGAATCGGTAAAGTACCCCCTCGTAAAAATGGTCCACTCTGGGTCGATAACAGGGCCGGCCAGATGCTTCCCGAAGATAGAGAATGTGTCCACTGCAAGTAGTTTTAAGATATTCCCAATTCTTCTAGATTCAGGGTAATTGGGACGAAAAGAAACAGAAGAAGATGGAGAATGAGAACCATTTGGATAGGTATAGAAAATAAGGTCATTTGGGATAGAATGGTTCAATCCTACGGAAAAGTCAAAGTCGGTCTGACCTTATCTGATCGAATTCATTCTACGACACAAGTTGAATAATTTTTTTAAAAACAACAAGTCATTTTGACAAGCAGGCAGGTCAAAGGTAGAAATAAAACAATATTTTTCATCATCCCTGGTAGACACAATCAACCTCCTTTGCACGCATTCTTCTACCTACTTGCACTCAGCAAAACAACCAAGTTCAAAGAAAACCGATGCAACCCCATACATAAGTCAGGACTTTTCCATTCACATGCATGACTCATATAAATTTCCTCTACCTTTTCTTTTGAACATTCAAAAGAACAAGGTCAAACAAAGTGTGGGTTCACACAGGTGTGAAGGGAAATCTGAGTCAACCAACTGACTGACCTTTAGTGAAGTTTGATCCGGCTTATTGAAGAAAGTTGGGTAATATATCAATCCGAAG